AAACACGTGAACAGTTTCTGTCTTTCTGCAAATCGGTGAAATCCTAGAGCAGCGCGCAGTGGTTTCACGTGAGCGGTTTTCAATACCTTCCTTGTGCGCGTGCTCTGATCAATTTGGCCTAAGTTATTTTTGGATTCGCTGTACTTATGCATGTCAAATGTTTTTAGAAGACTTAAAATTACGTTTCTTGCGATCCTTACGACCCTTATGACTCTAGTAAAAACAGGCTTTAGTCAACAGGTTACAAAATTGTATTCCACATGTAAAATCTAGGTTACCATCTGAAAAAAGCTTTTGGCATTTAATTTACTTATTAACAGGCATATCATAAAAATGCAATCTTGAAGCTGGATTATTGACAACATTATCACGGTATTATTAAGCCGGTCTTCAATATCATGATTACTATTATGACAGTAATTGGAAATGTAGAAAACGCAAACGAATACACCAATTCGACTTACGACCTCCTTTTGGAAATTTCTCCAAACTTAATTATACGATTTTTTTAAGCTCAGATTTGGCTTTATCGCTATAATTTTAGGCGGGATACTATTTTTCATTTTGTTTGAGCTTGTATTTTAGATTTAACCGAGAAATGAAGTTTGAAAACTTGTAAGGGATTTGACCGCAAAAATCGTTCCGGGGGAAACTTTACCCCCCTAGTCGCCAATCATGGTCAAATCCCTTATAAAGTTTTTATCTTTATGTCGTCATAAAATCAATATCGTGAGCAATATCATAATGAAAACTTACAAGTAGACTAAAATTATTCCTGTCAATCCGAATCTGAGGTCAAAAATTTTGTACAAAAGAGTTTGAAGAATTTTTCAAAATGAGGCCGTAGGTCGAATTGGTGTATTGCTTTATCAACATACTTTATATAAATTTGCGTTCATTCAAAGGCACAATGTTCCGTCGCATTTCACTGGTCATCCAAATTTCCCATTGGTTGGACTACACTCACAATAGATCAATAGTGACGAGACAGAATGCCTTTGATATTTTCCAAGTTCGGACTATTTAGAGAGCTGATTTCGTGATGCTACTGTCAACACTGCTACGTAACATTTTCCTTCCGCCCACATTGCTAAATATCTTTTCCAACCATAAGCATCAATCAATGATAAAATGACAAATTATAACAAAAATTGATAGACATGAAGCAGCTATTTTGCTCCAGTCTCTACCTTTTGACTAAAAGCTTGATTATACAAATAACTTATAAAAAAGTGCCTAGTGCATTTGAAAAATTTAGAATACTTATCAGAGCAGCTAAAAACAATGATGCATTTTCTCCTCCTTACAGCATTACGGCATAACATACAATTTAAATAACCAACAAGAAAAGAAGTAAACAATGGAGGAAGCAAGAAGGACAATCTATAACGACAAAATATGAATGTATGCGGTCTAAGACGTAAAATATATTCAATGCTACTACAATTAGACACATTCTGATTCCTAACTGCCAATTGATGCAAAATAGGCTGTTTATAATCATTGATAAGTTTTTCAATCTACATTACATATTTCTATTATCTGAACAAGAATCGATCTTTTTCCTACTTTTTTGAAATATACTTGTTGCCTTCAATTCAGACCATAACAAATTGAGCTTATATTAAACAATGATATTAGAGGGTCGTTTAAAATTATGTAGGAGCCACCTATTATAGAAAAAATCAATTTTATTCGTCTTTTAACCACCATTGATTGTTGGTCTTTACTTTGCAGATTAAACTCTATGAACAAATAATATGAATGTTTAAAATCTGAACCCCATCTGACCAATCTTAAAAGTATTTAAATCCTCCAAAAACTAGTTTTTATCGTGTGGATGTCACTGAGATGGGTAATTCAAATTTCCATAATTCGTGGTTTTTCATCAATTTTCGTAAAATTTCAATCCTTCGTAGGAAGCCTATGTTCTTTGACTTTGAAATATGGAAATATGAAGTTCAGATAAGCCAAATCTCTACTTTTCGTGCCAGCATTTATCTATTTCTTCTTCTGAAAAATGTACAAGCTCATTTTGCCCCCCTCTTCCTTCCTCCTTCCAAGTCCCTTCCTCCATTGAAGTAGAATGTATAGTTGTTTTTTGTACTTACTAGCTGTCGTTTTAACTACAGTTTTTTAGAATAAAACAACCAGATAATGAAATTATCAGCTTTTTCTTTTCTATGAATCCTCTTAAAGATAGTTATAGATAGCTTTGCTGCCTTATGTTCAAGCATAAAATTATGACCAGGAAGATTTAGAATCGGCTAAAGCAAGGTGCCTGCCGCCGCCTTGGACATTATCTGAAACAACAATTGCTAAGAAATATCACCACACACACACAAAATTCAGCTGCAGTGTGTGATGATAACACCATATTGTTTATTTACACAACATGAACATTGTGTGAACAACTTGATGTTAAGGTTGTTTGTTGAAGTCTCGAGTATCTATAAAAAGGCATATGGGAGCAAAATTAGATGTCGAAGCTTCAGGGCTTATGTCTGACGTAAAGATCACGACTGAAGGTAAGCTGAGTCTTTTGTAAGTACAATACGATTTCAAATTTCTGGCACAGCATTTTGGGCACAGCAACTTATGTCGTGCCGTATAAGTGAGCAATGGGCACCAGTGCGATGCAATGACGCGGTGCAATGAGCAAAGTATGAGAAGATTGATTTTCTTAAAGCTATAGACGGAATACATCCGGTGACATAAAATTGTAACATCATTCCTCTGTAGACGCTCTCGTGAATACAACTTTCTCACTTTGCTATATAACTTCAACCAAGAGCAGATAGCCAGAAACCTCGAATTGTGACTGTGTTGTATTATTTCAATGTAGAAACGATCAGTTTACAGTTGAAAGACAATCAAATAGAAATTATATATTTTTTGTTTCGAAACATTTGTTTTATTATAATTTAATTAAAATGTTTACTACTAATTCAGTAAGGAATCATTGATAGGTTCTTTAGCTATTGAAATTCTTAACATTTTTAACCTAAACCTGCTTTGAATCATCTTTGTTTCCTTTAAAACCATGATGAGTAGATATTTTTTGCTATAGTTATCAAGAAACTTTTTAGTCATAGCAAGATAATTTTTTTCATAAAAAATATTAAAGGAGAAAAGGTGTTCTGGTGCTTTGTAAGTTTAGTTTGTAAGGTAAGTTTGAGGCAATTTTTTCTTCAGAAGAAAAAAATTCCTATAGAGCCTTTTTTGTGCATTAATCTAAAGCGTCTCAATCAGAATGCAAAGGAGAATTTAATATCCAAATCAAAATCATTTTATGCTTGTAAAAAGCTAAAGAAGTAGTTTCAATATCTTCTAAAAGAACAAGTGGGTGCTATATTTTGCTATGCTTGTCATTCGGTGGCCAAAAGTAAATCCGAGTGACATATCATATGTTCGAAAAGCAGCTTCCTCATGTTTTTCGTTTGCCAAAACCAATTAGCATATCTGATCCTTAGTTCATATAAAGTTACTGACTGAAGTTTTTCACAACATTTTTTAGGCTTATGACTAGCGAGCAATGATGAAGCTAAAAGTATGCATGCCATTAGCTGCAACGCTAATGTTGCTGTTCATCAGCATGTCAAGAGCAGATATGAAAGCTAGTGAAAAAGCTAAAATCCGAACCGGATTCAATGAGGCTCAAAAGATTTTTACTATCATGTCCGAGTTGAAAGGAAAAGACAAGGTTGGCATCTACAAATCCCTTGGGAAGATGGCAGGATTTTTGGGTGCTACAGGTGGCCTCATATCGATTGCGCTGCTATTTCTGCCACAAGAAGAGTCAGCTGAATTGAAGGCATTGAAGAAAGGGTTTGCTGAAGTGAACATGAAGCTTGATGTGATCACTACGGTGGCCCACAGGTGCCACGGCAAAACTTACTTTCTCACGGCAAAACTTTCTTTTTCACGGCAAAACTTTCTTTTTCACGGCAAAACTTACTTTCTCACGGCAAAACTTTCTTTCTCACGGCAAAACTTACTTTCTCACGGCAAAACTTTCTTTACGTGTTGTTGTGTACGTGATACTTAGATCTAATCAATGCTTTAGACGTTTTAAACTTCGCAGGATTTGCGAATACCTACATCTTCTCTTGATAATTCTTGCAGAAAGACAGCCGAGAAATGTTCTAAAATTTATCTAGGTTTGGCTAGGCTAGGCCTATATGCCTATCTCAACGAAACAGTACCGCATGCAAGGTCTTTGATTCCTTTGTTTTGAAAGCAGTGAAAAAGATCAATTCGTTGAAAATTGGCGTGCATATAAAATTCGTGCAAAAAAATCACGTACGTGCACTTGGCACGCTCGATTGTGGCTTGTAAAAAACCTATAAATTGGGTATTGTGTTTAATATCATATCATATCGTATTACTCACAGGGTGGGTTGATGGCTAGCTACTTAATTTTTCGAATAATAGTAATAGCAATGAATAAAGAAATGAAATAATAAGCATGGGCATAATATAAGGGGAGAAAAAAATCGAAGTGGTTGCCCAACAAACAACATCCATTGTTTATGAAAATTTTGCCTGTTCAGTAATCATGGTAGATTATGAAAATTCAGTAATCATGGTAGATTTCTGCCTGATTATCGCTTTTTTGGAAACTTTTCAGTGTTGAGAAACTACAGTTGCCGCTACAGCCCCCTTATCTCCCCAGACCCTTGTCTACTACGCCTATGTTAGAAAAGCAAAAGGAACAAAGCAATACGACGACGAGAATCCAATGTCACGAGATAAAATTTTCAAAATAAATTTAATTTAAGTAATAAATTAAATTCAAAGAAAGTTTTGCCGTGAGAAGTAAAGTTTTGCCGTGAGAAATAAAGTTTTGCCGTGAAAAAAGAAAATTTTGCCGTGAGAAAGTAAGTTTTGCCGTGAGAAAGTAAGTTTTGCCGTGAGAAAGTAAGTTTTGCCGTGAGAAAGTAAGTTTTGCCGTAAGAAAGTAAGTTTTGCCGTGGCACCTGTGGGCCACCGTAGATCACAACAGAGCTAGACAACATTAAGGATTTGATCAAATTCGAGAATCAAAAAGCTGTTTACTCTTCAGCGGCAGCAAAAATTCTTTACGGACATAAAAAATTGCAAGAATTCTTCGATGAGATGGCAAAAACTATTTGCTCAAACGAAAATCAATGCAAACGCGCAAAGGCAAGGATTGCACTCCGTTATGTAAGGTATTTTGATGTACAAAAATACATCCATCAAATAGTTCATGGCGCTACAAAAAAAACATCAGAATTTGGAGAGCCACTTCTTCATCTGGTTAAGACGACATCACAGTGTCACATTCCAAAGATTGACCGATTCTCAAACGGCATCCTAAAGTTGTCATTCAAAGCACACCAAATAATATTGGCTCATGAAAGGCTTACAGGTACAAGAACGAGCATCACAAACAGCATTTACACTTGGCTCCAGAGCATGTATCAGCTTAGAGACGAGACACAGGCAGTGAAACAGGCTTGCTTCAAGGATATGAAAACCAGGATGATCAAAGAAATCAACAACAAAAAATACCAGGTTGGTTTTTCTTCAAACAATGCATCTGCCATCAAACTAAAAGAATTCTTGGACGATAAGTATCCATGGCTTGGATGGATTGTGTACTCATATGGAGCCTACGGTGGATCTAAACATAATTTCTACAATGTCAACGGTCTTTTTTGGAACAGTCCAAAAAAATGAAAGGAAATTTGGAACAGAATGAAAGGAAAAGAAATATTATTGTCAGCTTCACTGATAAACATGGGAAATATTCAAATGGAAGGCACAAGGTCTATCTTGCAATCGAAGACATAAAAGAAAAGGTAAACTTCTACCTTGCACGTGACGACGCGTATAAGATGTTACCTGTTTTTATTAAGGAATTCGAAAAAAGAGACGTGATGAAGTACATTAACAGTATTGGTTTATTAAGAGAATACGATAGTTACGCTATCACGGCAGACAATGAATTGACATACATTGACGAGGTGCATCTTTTCACATCCCGCGAGCGTAGTCAATCATATGTGGATTCCCGCAGAGGTGAAATTCGCTACCATACGACGGAAGACAAAGTACGAGTTGTGATAACTTTGAAGTCCGAAGAGCAAGTGTCTGGAGTAAAATGCAGTCTAGAATGCAGTAGTCATGGTCGTTGCAAAGAAATGCCATTCTCATCTGCTAGATATTGCCAGTGCAAGCCCTTTTATCAAGGACAAAAATGTGAAGACAAGGTGAAAGCAAATCTGGCTAAGACAATGGATGCAATGCTAGCAAAAACTCTCAAACTACCGATGCTAAGTGACATTGCGTATGACATCAAGGATATGCGTGAATACGTTGGGGTGGGCATTGGTGCATTGCAGGCAGCTGTCAGTGAGTTGGAGGAGAAATTTCAACGTGCTTACGATAAAATTTCACACCAATTATCAAGCCAGTTTGAATGGGCCAATCTCCTTACCCTTTACAGCTCCTCACTCCAAAACATCAAACAATACGCTCTTCGATTTGAGACTTTGCCAAAAAGATACGCAGACATAATGGAAGAGGAAGGTAGGAAGTTGGCAACAGCAGTGCTTGCACCAAATGGCATTGAGAGGTGGCTAACCGACGTCAACTTTCTCCTTATCGGAAGATCTGGTGTACCATTGCTGAAACATAAGCCAATGCTTATCCTCTTCATGAACAAATACAAAAACCAAGCTTGTTTAGACTCTTATAAGAATGCAGTTAGTAGTGCATGGAAGCAGTTGGTTCTTCTTCAAACAATTGGCTTCATGGTCTGGGCTCAAGCCTTGGAGTTCAATGACAGAGGTCCTCACAGAATCGTGAATTTATACAAACAAAGAACTGATTTACAGGTAATATGTCAAACAGAAACTTGTTCTAGATGGGACCTATGTATATAAAACACAGCTATAATTTCGAAAAAAACTCATTTGACATACTTAAGAGTATACGTTAAGTTAGTCATAGGCTTATTATCATGTCTAAAAGGATAAAGGACTTTGATAAATTCATAGGCCTAACATTCCGAATCTATTTTCCGATGATGCAGTAGGTAGCAACAAAAAGCCGCACACCGTCAAGAGTGAAAAGAGGCATTTCCTAATTCAGGAAGAGCGAAGCAAAAGAACATGTCTTTTTTAAATCTTTCAGTATCTTTTGCATGTCATTATAGAAAAAAGCACCACAAAGTCATATAGCCCTTCTGAGTTTACTTCAAACCTCAATCAAATTGGCACAATGCGTACGTCGCATTGTATCTATCTAATACTACCGGTCTGTGATAATGTGTTCGATATAAAGACAGAGCAGTACGTTGCCTGATGATTGCATTACCTGTGAAACTTGGAGCAGCAACTTAAAACTGTTCTGTTCTATAAACTAAACTGTTCTGTTCTATAAACTTCATTTGAAATACTTACATGATGTGAACAAAGATATCAAAATAAAACGGTTGTTGCTTTGCATTTAATACGTTTATTAGATATAATTGCCCACTCTAAAGATAATCATTTAATTTTCAGATGGCAAAGTTCAAATCAACAACATGTGAGTACCAAGTTGCAAATTCTGAGAACATTCAGTGCGCAGGGGGCAGGTACTTGCATCCAGGGCTGACAATAAAAAACAAGTGTAAGCCCAATTATTATGCAACTGGAGAATTAACAACCAATTGCATAAAGAGAGGAGCGACCTGTAGGCCATGTGGATGCAACAGCAGAGGCTCGAGGAGCCTTCAGTGTTCTGACACCACCGGAAAATGCCAGTGTCATAATGGTTTTAAAGGAAACAAATGCAATAATCGTGACTGCGAATGGTAGGGTTGGTCAAGTTGGTCTGGATGTTCTAAGGCATGTGATTATGGGAAATCATCACGAGCCAAAGGTCATCGACGAACACGACAAGGCCAAGGAAAGCCATGTACTGGAGAAAGTAAACAGATTAAAACCTGCTTTAATCGCTGCTGTAGTAACCAATTTCATTGCTCAAATAGGAAAAAGTGCATTCCGTGACTATGATAATGACTGTGGCGATAATCAGGATGAGCAGTCTTGTCAAGAGCAGTGCACAACTAAGTATACTGCATGGGATGAGCATGGAGGCGGAAATTCTATATTCTTAGACAGGCAAAAACTTGACTGTGGCGGCCAGGGCCAGGTGTTAAAAATGTTTCATTTGGAAGCAAGACCTGACCAGATTCGATACAAATACAAGTGCTGCAAGCTGAACAAGCCGACTATGTGTACCCCCACAAGTCACTCAACTGGTTACACTTATGATGGCAAAGGCGACACTTTCTTCCTTGATCGACAAACACTTGACTGTAGCAAGAATGGTTATCTAAATGGTTATTGGCTTAGGAGAAGCGGCAGAAACTTCAAGTAGGCCTTTTTACTAAACTTCATGCGTAATGGAAGTGATAAATGTTTTTCAGCCATCATACACATTTTGCAAAGCAACGCTGTAGAACCATTTTGTATTTTGAAGTAAACATTTTTCTAGCACCAAGTTCTTGATAGCACCCAGATTCATTTTTATCCAGTAGATTTTTGTCACATTTACCCAATTTTAACCTATCCTATCATCTCATGATTTTTTTCTCTCCCAATTCAGATATGACGTCAAGTGCTGTAAGCTGCAGATCAGAAGATATCGTGAGAGGACTCATTGCGAGACAGCAAACACCCGAGCAACCGATGGTGGCAACGGCAAGAACTTCTTCTTAGACAGGCAAACAGTCGAGTGTCCAGGAAGGCGCTTCTTGAGTCATTTCAAACTTGAAAGGAATGGTCCGAAATTGTGGTACAAATACACGTGCTGCGAAGTAAGAAGCTGAAAAAAGAAGTAGATGGTGACTTTGCTTTGCTATTTTTATTTGCCTTTGATTAATCAAGTGCGGAAAAAGTTTAGAAAACAATCTTTTTTTAATATAAACTGATGCGGGGAATAATAATTGTCATTTTTAGTGTGATCTTGGTAAAAGAAAAACAACTTATCGAGGGTCGCTAAAAATCATTGCAAGCTCTTCAGACAATTGTTTTGTTGAAACTGATTCAGCTGTTTTCTGCTAGAAGCATTTATTACATATTTAAACAAGTGCTTAAAATACTTGGAAAAAATTATTCGAATCAAAGCTGACGTGAGGAATAATAATTGCCTTTCTTTGGTGCGATCTCTAAGTTGAAGAAAAACAGCATTCTAGGGTTGTTAAAATTCCTGGTTAAATTCAAATTCTTAATGTAAAAATCGATTCAGCAGTTTTTGTTAGAAACTTCACGTATCAAAGTGACATTACATATTCAAGGACTAATCGGCCCTAGACCACTATAGACAAGGGCATTGCGACCGGGGGAGTGTGTGGGGGTGTTCCAATAGTATCTCAATAGGAAACTTCAGGTAAAATCCGCTCGGTGGAAGAAAGGCTTTAGGTATTTCAGAGACCTTCATGTCATAAAATCAATAAAGGATCAAGCAATGGTAGTTGCTCCGTTGGTTAAGTATGATATTCCTTGATATGAATGAAGGTAAACAAACTAATGATTTGAAGATTTGAAGATTTCTTGTTGGCACTAAATCGAAAAATCCAGGCCCTCTTTAGGTAAAATTGTGTCTTGTGTCCATTTCTCCTAAAGTTTCTTGATAGAAGCGTCAACTGCAGTTCACTATGAGCTCCAGATTTTTTTAACATTCAAAAGGCATGCTAAGATGGAAATATATATATATACATACATACATACATGTATGCGTTTCCCTCGACCCACCACGTAGTGTACTCATTCTTCGTACACAAAAAGGGATCTAAATTGACAACCAGTGCTGCTTTTTACCTAGCTTTAGAAGTAACTGACAACATGGTATTTCTCAAAACAACGGCAAAATTTTGACAGTTGTTTTTATCTGTTGTTGTATCAATTTGTTTGCAAAAAAATTATTTTCAATAGGATTTTTCAGGGAACTAGAAGCATCAAAATTCGAAAATTTCCTGCTCCTTCGGCGGTAACCAGTGCCACCTCAGGCAGTAATTATCAGTGGCGGACTGGCCCAACGGCCAGTTTTTGCTGAAAAGGGGCCCCTTATGAGATACCCGGGCTAATGAGGCCTTCCTTTTGATGCTCCATTACTAATAATGGACATCTTACAATACGTGAAAAGTAAGTGCTTATTTTTAATAAACAGGTAATTAGTGCTTTATGTTATTTTGATTAAAAAATTGATAGTTCTACGTCAAGGATAGTGCACTTGGCCAGGGATGTTCACTTGGCCAGGGATAGTGCTACGGGGGGATGGTGGTGGTGTGACACTCACTAAGAATATGGATCGGTTCTTTACTCGGCAGATTCAACTTCTGATCCTCTTCGCTCCTCGTCAGTGCCAAGTCGGCATGTTAATATTTCAACTGTTAATTGGCAAGTTGTAACCAGTGAGAACCAACTGCACATTACAATGTTTCAGGGTTTGGGTGCACAAATGGCGAGAATATATACCAGAAAATCGATTAAAACCGTCAAATAGCGTTCTGCCTGTGGATAATAATTTTATGAGGAAGTTTGTATTGTAAGGTTTAATGATTGCATTTTCCAGTGAACTGGAAGCATCGAAATTCAAAAATTTTCTTGCCTTCTGCGGCAACCATGGTGCGGCCTCAGGTAGAAACTTCTGTGTGCCTTATTATTGTTCGTGTCGCAAAGCTACAAAAAGCTAACATACCTGAGTAAAAAGGTTCCTATTCTGTTAAATGATTGAATGAAGAAAATTTTGTGATAAAGATTTTCAAAGGAAAGCCTATCCCTATAATTAGGACTGACTTTAGGGCCCGCCTGTGTCAATTTACGAGCAAAACTTCAAAATATTGAATTTCTTTTTACAGTAACAGTTCCAAGAGTCATAAGCTCGTTAGGTAGTTGACGGGTGAGAAGGTATCTTCCATTTTCGACATTAGCGAATGCCTTAATTTTATTTAATTGAAAAATACACTTGACACGCTTCCTAAGAAATTTTTCTAGCACCGCTTTGCATTTGACCACACCCTTACTTTTTATAGCCACACCCACCAAGACCCCCTTAAGTTCTTCGTGGCCGGTTGAAAATTCTGAGCAAGTCCGCCACTGGTAGCTATATCCTTTGTCCGTTCTGATATAGAGATTTGACAAAACTATTAGAAAAAATTCCGTTATTATCAAAATTAAAATAAAAGTTGCGAATTATATACAGAGTTAGATTGACAAAATGCATTGCAGAGGTTTGTGACAGCAACTAAAGAATTTCAGGCAAAAATTTTTAATCAGGTAAATTTGTAGTCCATCTCCCTCCAACAAGGCTTGCCTCGCGACGCCCTGCTTGTAGATATTGCTAACATTAAGTTAATGTGATCAATTTCACTTATATCGAAATAGTGTTATATCTGGAAACCTAGACTTCATCTTCATTGGGCGTAGGCCAAGTAGGGAAGTGCAAGGAGTGTCGCAACCCTCAGCTTTGCATTCGTCCGCAAATCAACAAAATTTCTAGATTCTGAGTTTTAGCAATAGCGTAGTTTGTCAATGTCATGACATAACATAATGTCTCTTCTTGTTGTTCTCAAAATTGATAGTTCTTCAAAATTCGCAAGGATTCTTTTAAATTTTTTCTTTACACTGATTTCTACTGTTGCTCCCACATTAAAAACGTCATGTGTAGGACCTTAACAGATTGGGGTAGTCATGGGTAATGCCGGACGCTGGGCACTCACGGACAAATCTTTCCTGGGATATTTGTTTTGAATCTGTTGTGAAAATTAAAGAAAAATATTGTAAGCTGTTTCAAGAATTCCTTCATGAAAAATGCTACTCGATTGACGGACGAAATACTTTTATATCATCACATGCAGTGGCGGCTCCAGCTACTGCAGAGTGAGAGGGTAATGGGCGTGGCCTGTGATACCATGCATATTTTGCATCGTTTCAGTGCTTTGTACCAGGCTAATTTTCCTTAGGAAAGAGGATCTACCCCTACCTAGCGCTTTTTACTTGGTTTTTAAAAAAATTTAGACCATGCTTTTAAAAAAGTGGGGGGAGGGTAATTACTCCCCCCTCTCCCCTGCTATTGATCACATGGCCAACAAAAACTTCATTTCAGCTTTTTGTTTATCGAAAAGAACTAAAAGCACCAGTCATTTTAACAGTTAATTAATCTTTTATTGACACAAAATATCCAAATACATTTGCAATAGCGGATCTGTACAGTGTTGAGTAAACAAAAAAGAAATGCCCAAAAATCAGAAATGAAAAAATTATAGGTTACAACTAAAGTTAATTTGGGAGAGAGAATATTTTCACAGAATATACTAATAAGTTATTACAAACCAATAATTACATTATTCAAAATCTTGAGAATTTCTGATACTAGAAAAATGACATTGTCTGTTGTTTTACTGTGCTTTGTAAGCCTTGATAACATCTCGGATTGGAGCCCTACACATGGGGCAGCGATGTCCATCCATTTTCAGCTGTAAGCCACACATGTTGCAAACACACATGTGGCCACATTGATACAAAACAGTGTCAACTTGATTATCAAGACAAATGACGCATGAACCAGCAGAAACAGGGCCTGACAGATTTCTCTCTGGGATTCTGAATTGATTAGAGGAAACAGAGCCAGAGGCTGAAACACAAATATGGAAAAATATATATTCAAGAAGAAACCATAATTCAGAATGAGCAAGCATACTTCCTATAGTGAACCTAAAACGCTATTTCGGTCTCTTGCTTATTTCAGTTCTTATTCAAGAGGACTCATTAAAGTGGAGGGGCTTATGTCAAAGTTAGTAGAGACATATAATGCATTGTAAATGGTAAACATATTCACAAAAAAGCCATGCACTGTAAGATAATTAGCATTTTAACTAAGGTTGATAATGATTTATTGGTGTAAAGTTTCATCAAACAATATGAGAGAAGACAGTGGGCTGTAAACATCTTGAACATTTCCAATTAGATTTTCCTTCTCATGTTGTTACCATATTGAATATATTTCAAAAGACTGACAGCACAATTTCAAATTCAGTTGGACAGCCGACTCTCTGGCTTCAAAAAGAAGTAAATGTAATCATGAGGTGAGCTTTTTATTGTTTGTCATGTGTCTTTGAAACATACCTTGCCCAACTTGCTCCATAAAAGCTGCGAATACAGCTGAAACTTCTTGACGTATGGACCGCTGTGTCTCCATTTGAATCTCTAATGTTGTCTGCAACATCCTTTTCATCTCATCCATTTGTGTTTTCAAGGAGTTAACTTCAGTAGTAAGTTGTTGCCTTTGAGTGCCAGTCATTGGTCTTGACGAAGTCCTTCTTTGACTGATATTGCTATGATTAGCTGTTCTTGGAGGTTGGCGATTGGAGCGTGGTAATGACCTGATGAACTGCTCCACAATTTCACCACCACCAACATTTTGAGCACGCTCCTGCAGAATCAAAATAATACTACACATGCTTTTACTTACATAAAAAGTAAATTTGATGAA